AAGACAGGAAAATGTATTTACAGGCTGCTATAGTGAGGATTATGAAAGCCAGGAAAGTTCTGAGACACAATGCCCTCATACAAGAAGTAAGTCTGTCTCTGTCTCTGTATCAGGAAAGTCTGTGTATACAGGGACAGCAGAGGAAAACTGAAAATAGAATTACAGTGACATAGAATGACATTCTGGCACTCAGAATAAAGTATTAGTTTTCTCAGAGAACAAAATAAGCATTTGATATTTACAGCTCTTACATTACATATTGTATTTCATCTCTCTTACAGCACTCTCTCTCTTAAACACTCAGTCTTGTCTAAGTAGTGAGAATTTACCTTACTGTCTCTAAATATAACATCTCAATATACATAGTGTATTTTTAATGCAGTGCTTTTCACTACTTTTTCTACTGTGGGTTTGGGCCTGAGGCTATTTTGTGGAGTGTCCTGAACCTGAATTCCTGCAGAGTGAGATATGACAGCTCTGAAAGGGCTGCAGTGGGGGTCTCTATTATGGACCACTGTCATGACACGCCTGTGGGCCACACATGTCTTTAAGAACATCACATGCACAAGCATCCAAAAAAACAAAACTGTGCATGTGCAAGACTCCTATACATCTATAGTATCGTATAGCAGGACACCTACAGTACTTTGCATATGTCTTAGGTCATCGATTAGCCATTTCCAAACCTCTCCGTGAGGAAGCCCAGTATTTACAGTTAGCATCCAAAACATAGTTTATCTAATCAATCCTTAATTAAATTAAATCAGGTGTGCTGCTGGGAAGTGGATCAAGTACACCAAGAATCAGGAATCAAACCTGTGTGCCAATGTTGTGTAGTGTTTCTAATGTTATATAGTGCACAGTGCTGTATATTTCATCTTAACAGATAGTATCTTTGCACGGTCACACTTCTGGAAAGCATGCACACACAGTAGTTGTTGGTGTTATTACCATGTGGGTGCACACGCACACAGGATTGATTTACTGGATTCCTACCCTCCTCACATTCTTGTACCACATTAAGGCAGTTTTCCTGCTCGCTGCAGGCTGTTCCCCAGAGAGCTAAATGCCAAACTGGGCCTCACCTTCCTCGCCTTCACTTTTCCCTATTCTGGAGTAAACAAGATGACTGAGAAACATTTTCGTGCGTGGAGAGAATTAGCTGAATTCCATTAGCGTTTGAATGTTTGTAAATTTCTTATCTATACACACAGACTAATGTTTCTGTAGCCTTTTTGCAGGGTTAGACAGAAAATAATAGGCCTTCATATGGTCCCCTAATAAAGAGGGAAGTGCATACTCTAGAAACCCTTGGAAAGCAAATGTGTGGGAAAAGATTGTTCTTGTCGGGGTGGGCGATATGGCAAACATAATCTCACGATACTTTAAGGTATTTTCATGATGCATGTCACAGTATTTTATTTTTCTGTTTGATCTGTTAGAATAAACACAGTGTGGCAGTGGTGCCATGTTAAAAAAATCAAATTTCCACAGTATGCTGAGAAAAGCATGTTGTCATGTAATTTATCGTAATAATGACATTGTCATTTTGTCCATCTCTAGTTCTCAGAATTGCTGTGATTGAATTTTTCTACTGTTTGTGCCAAAAGGATGAATTTGGCCTAATGTACCTTATCAGTGCCTTTGTTTTTTTTTTCCCTCTCCAAGGTGATCAACCAGTCAAAAGCCCGATTCAATCCCAGTATCAGCATGATCAAGAAGTGTATCGAGGTGCTTATCGACAAGCAGTACATAGAGCGAAGCCAGACGTCTGCGGACGAGTACAGCTACGTCGCCTAAAACAAATGTCACTCTGCGGTCGGACCGCAAACCATGTCTTTATTTTTGGCTGTGGCTGGCTCAGGCTCTCTCCCTGCAGGATGAAGCGGGACTGTGCCTCCATCTTTGGGGGGGGGGCCTCCAAATAACCAGGCAGCCATCAACAACCCCCACCTCCCCTCCAGCCCACCCTTTCTGATTTTATGCTGTTTACAACATCACCAGTGCCACGCCCAGTGCGTCAACGAAAATGAAAAAAGAAAAATGCCTATAGCTATTCAAGTGAGAGCTGATAATACATTTTTAGACGATGTAATCGTAACCAGAGAAACCAAGAGAGCGAACGGATGTGCTGAGTTGTGTCAGAGTTTTAAAAACAAACAAAAAGTGTCTGAGAAAAACAACCATGCTTTCTTTTCTCACGTTTGCAGTTGTCGTGTGTTTTTCTTTTTTTAAATGTATCAAAGTAAGAGGAAAAAATATTGTAATAAAACCGTTATACTGATAATTGTATTTACTTTCAAAATGTAAAGAAAAGTAAACAAATAAGAGGTGACAAACATGATTCTGCTGCTTGTCAAATAAATAAATCTAAAAAAAGTTCAGCTTTTGTAAATGTTATATAGGAAATACCTGAATGTATCAGATGGTTATGAGGAGGTAGTTTTACCAGAGCTCTGCTGTTCTCTATATAAGGAGAGAAAAAATCTCAGGAGGCTGTTTCATGGTTAAAAGTTTCACTTCAAGCCCAAGCCCTGTTCCATAGCTCAGTCTTTGCTACCTCTTGGCTGAGGATCTTCTCTAAATAGGATCCATATGAGGTTTTCTGATCAACTCCACGTTTCCACTGTGTGTGCGTCATCAGCAAAGCATGTTTTGTGTACTCTGAGGCATTATATTGTCATCTTATTTAAGGGACTAAGTTTTGTGGTTTCGCTGATGTCATTACAGTTTACTCAGGAAAAAGGGATAAAAATTTGGACATGAAACAGTGACTTGGTGAAGAGGTTCTGTAGTGTACCAGTAGGGGGCAGAATGGAGTGACCACAATTCCTGCCAAAAGCATAACAGAAAGTTCAAGAACACTTAGCTTTTCATAAGGCAAAAATACAGAGATGTTTTGCACTTTAAAGTTACTAAAGTAACAAAATGGCTTTGTACTTGTACAAACAATATAACCTTCGTAATGAATTTGTCCTGCTATAAAATTAATTTTAGCATCAAATTGGTCAGGTGTCCAAAGCACTGAAAGGCAAAATATACTGGTACTGGTATGGTACTTGAACTGCACGGGGTTGGTCATAGATGTGGCCACATGTTTATTGCAGAAGAGGCATGTAGTGATCCTCATCCTGACCTCAGGAAAGAGCAACAGCCATTTTGACTAACAGGGCGCTTAAACTTTATAGTAAAACAGTGAATACTTACTAAAGTACCCCATTAATGCAGTGCTCTCCCAGTCTAAATCTAAATGACCTGCAGCCAAAGCTGTGCAAAAACTGCTGTAGTGAGCACAAAACTTAGACGTTACAGGATAAAGTGACATTTTCTGATGTATCAGGTTTTTACTCCAGTCTACATCCGGATGGTTTGTTTATTTTTTCAGAAAGCTTTCAACACACATTGCTTGTTTAGACATGTTAGGTGCTATAATGTCTCAGTTCTTGACAAAAGGTCTCATTTTCCACCAGAAACTGTGCGCAGCACATAATGAACAATACAATAATTACAATACTAAGCCCAATACTTTCACAATGTATCCATTCTATATATATCCAATAATCCACATGCATTCTCTATATTGATCAGACTCATTTCAGCTTACATTTGGAGTGATAAAGCAATAGTGTTACTGCTACAACTGTCAGACAAAAGCATCAGAGCACAGAGGTCATCACCTCAGTCTTCTAATCTCCCCCACACCTATCTGCCCCATATCCACTGCAAGGTGCGAGGAAAAAAAAAAGACAATGAATTGCTCCATTCATTCCCTCTTAACTTGATTTACAGAAATGCTTACTCACATCTTACTCATTACACACATAAGGAAGCATAAACTTTCTCACGTTTTGACCATACGCAGGGCACGATCACAGTTCATGTAGTTTCAACGTGAATTGTCTGCTGTGAATCTAAGGCCTAAAGGAAGGTTCACCAAAATATCAAATTTACACAGTTTCTCTTACTTTTGACGTAGTTGATCAGCCAAGACGTTTGGTGTCTGAAGTTTATTTCTTAAGTTTTGCATTGGAACTACTGATAACATAAAAGGATTTTGGGTGACACACTTGCAGTACTTATTAGCTACATTAGGCTCACAGCTCAGTGCTAAAGTGAAGAAGCAAGCTTCGGACACCAAACATGCCTTGGCTGAAAGACTACATCTGGGCTAATAGTGGAAAACTGTGGAAAACAGATTTTTCAGTGGACAATCTCTTTAATGTGACCAGAAAAAACAAACAGACCTTAACAGCTTGTTTCAGTGACAGAAACATGTAAGGTTACACTTTTCAAAATGAGTTATCTTTATTATGAGATTCTGTTAAGACTTTATATTTGAAACAGTGTGTTTCAGCAACATAAATGAGGGACATAAAAGAAACTTAGCAGAAAAGAAAATGTGAAAACAAATGTTTATGTACCCACAAATAGCCAATGTTCAATAACTAGTAAACTAATCTGCACTGAGGCTAGCGAGCCCTTACTATTATAAAATTAGAAAGCACATGTGTTGTGAACTATGTGAGCCCACTTCCCTCTGAGGAAAGAAAAACTGCCTGTTTTTCTCCCTTTCTGGCAGCAGTGTGTCAAAATTTTGAATCTTGAATCTCAAAATAATCAGAAATAATGACTTGTTTCCTCAAAATATTGATTGTTTTTTAAAATAGTGGTGTATTTTCTTTAAAGTTTGATTTATTTTCAAACTGACATTTTCTCAAAATGATGACTTAGTATCGCCGAATTATGACTTACTTTCTCCAGATGTTGAGCTATCAGGGAAGTCCTAGCATATCATGTTGAAATAATGAAGAATGACATTAAAAAAATGCTTTAAATGTAAACGAAAAAAAAATTAAGTAATTATTTTGGATAATAAGCCACTATATTCGATTATTCCGAGATACTGAGTCATTATTCCCAAGCCATATTTTGTACGCTTAAAGCTCGAGGGATCTGCTGAGTGTGTTTGTGTGGAGAAGGAGGGAAACACGGTGTGCTTCAGTGAAGAGGAGGTGATGAGTCAGTGCTCGCCTTGCCCAGCCCCTCCGTCACAGCGCGCGCACACACACGTTCACACGCTCACTCACTGAACAGGTGGGTCTTGTAGCCGAGCTTCACACTCACTCGCACCTCTGAGGAGTTATGAGGATTCCCGCAGGCGGCCGCCGTCTCCTGCTCTCCTGGATATAATGTATCGGCGGAGAAAGGCTTGTGAGCGCGCGGAGCTGAGCTGTCTGCAAACTAACTGAGCTCTCCTCGGACTCTCCGGGAATCCTGAGGGCGAAGATGAAAGTGACAGTGTGTTTCGGAAGGACCCGGGTGGTCGTACCTTGTGGAGATGGGAATATTAAAGTCCACAGTCTTATCCAGCAAGCGGCCATGAGGTATAAGAAAGCGATAGCGAAGGTAAGTGGCACTCGTTTTGTTTTGCTTTGCCCTTTTTTCCGCCCTGAAGGTGGAAAGCTGCTGCAGCGTCCTCAACATGGCGCTTCTCTGGGAGAAGAAGAACAGGGAAGAGAGGGAGAGAGAGAGAGAGGGAGAGAAAGGGGACAGTCCTCCTCTTTTTGAGCTCAACTTTGTTGGAGAAAGTAGGCTCAGTTTAGGACTTTTCCGGCGTGTTTGGTGGAGGTGGTTTGCACTTGTGTTTTCTGGTGTTTTGGATACATTCGCTGTAGTTTCCCTCTGTGTGCTTTTATAAACAGCGCAGGGGAGAAGCTAAAGTAAACTTCAGCGCGGTTCTCCACCTCGAGTGTCTGTTTTCGGTGAAACGTCTCACTCCTTTTGAGACATTAACATAGAGCACGGTGTGTAGCCTGTTTAACGTCAGGAGATGGACTGGGTGAAATGGACTTATGTAATCCTCTGCTGTCTTCTCAGAGCTGAGGGAACTTCCTTTAGGAGCTCAGCTGATTGACGGTTGTTTGCCACCACGCCACATATTCACTTCAGCAAGATTTGTCTACTGAACCCAGTATATACTTATGAATGTAAGTAAGCGTGAGAGTAATACTCGTCTACAAACAGCAACGCACCCCTTCAGAGTTGCAGTACTTCTTGGTTCAAAGCTCATGCAGGTAACCTGAGTTTGAGGACTCCTGGTCAGGTCCTCACTGAGGTAGAAGTTTTAAACCAGGGGTGTCCAGATGACCAGTGTGGCTGCAGGTTTTCATTCCAACAAAGCAGGAACACACATTTGAAAAAGAAGACTACCCGATGAAACAAGTGTATTCAGGTATGCTTCAGCTTGTTTGGAATGAAATCCATAACATGCCTGCAGCTGGTGTGGCTGCAGGTTAAGAGTGGACACCCCTGATTTAGAACCCGGAGATTCACTTTGTGTAGTACAGCGGTTCCCAGTGCTGGTCCTGGAGTATGATTTTAGTGTTTCAGGGCTCCCAACACACCTGATCCAACTAATCAGTTTATAAACTAGCCCATACTGAGTTGAAGTGGGTGTATGAGAACAGGAAAGCACTAGAATGTGCAGGGCAGGGGGTACTCCAGGCCCAGGCTTGGGAACCTGTGGTCTAGTTGTTCCCAGTCCTGGTCCCACAGTACCCCTATCCCCGTATGTCTTGTTGTTTTCCTGTTCTAACATAGTTGATCCAATTAGGCAGGTAATTAACAAGCCAATCCTGAGATGAGGTGGAGGTGGGGGGGTCTTTAAAATGTAAAATGTGCAGGGCAGGGGGACTCCAGAACCACGGACCACTGATAGTCTAGAAATGATGTATTGGTGTCTGTATGGGGGCGATATCAGCAGAAAATACTGGATAGGATATCAGAAGGGGAAAAAAAGGAATCGGTCCAATCCATCCATCAAATCCGATGATGTAACAGATCTGTCCTGATATAGCTCTCATTGAGTGATGTTTGCTGTGCCATCTTGTGAGGTTTTTTGAGTATGGTAACCCACTTTTCAGGGCTCTTAAATGAAGTGCTTCAATTATAAATAGCCTATTTTGAAGTGTAATAGAAGGAAAATAGGTATTGGGAGAAAAAGTGGATTTGTGCCTCCTCTAGTTCAAAACAGGGGTCACAATTTTTGTGCACAAAGGCCTAATGTAGCTGCCTCTTTTCATTCCAATCCAGCAGAAGTACTTGATTAGTCAGTTGCTCTCAAGCTTCAAACAATTGACTAGTTATATGAGCTGTGCTCCTGCATGGTTAGAATGAAAACCTGCTGCCACACTGGCCTTTTGTGGGTACAGTTGTTGACCCCTGGTCCAAACAACTTTTGGATGCACCAATTTGCCCAACAACTGCCTCATTATAACTGAAAGAAACTATAGCTTTGCCTTATCAGGTCACTAAATGGTGACCTGCTTAATTGTTTGTAGATAGTTGAGCACTACAGTGTTTCCCAGTGTTAGTCCTCAGTTTCCACTGCTGTGCACTCTTGAGTGGTTTACCTTCTTCAAACACGCCTGGCTCAACTCTCTACACCTCTTCTTGAGGTTAATTTGGGTGTGTTTGAGCAGGGAAACAGTAAAATGTGCAGTGGGTAACTTACTCCAGGAGCAGGATTGTGTCTTTTAGAATTAGCTAATCCTAATTCCTAATGCTGTTCAGGATTCAGAATGATCTTCTAAACGTGCTGACTTTGGCTTAAAACCTATGTGTGCCCCAAATTGCATTATGTTGTTTCACTGTTAAGAAGCTTTACTACCCAGTCTAAGAAGCGGGGTGTGTTACAGCCTCGTAAAATACTTCTAATTAAAGTAATTACATTTACTGGAGAAGAGTCTTCCTAGACTCAGACATCCAGTATAAAGTGAAAAGGCCATTTTACCTTAAGTTAATGGCTAATAATTATTAATAAACATATAGTTTTGTGTTGTTTATTATATAAATACCTTATATACTTGGGAGTACATACAAATATACTCATATTATTTCTTAATATTCAGCAATAGGCACATTTATAATCTTGACATTTTTCCTTTTGCCCAGTTAACAGCTGATGCTGTTAATAATGCTGTGACATCCAGCTTCTGCAAGCTTTGAATGCTTTGGTAAACCAGTGCTGGTATTGCCAAGATCTATTTTTTTTAAAAACAGAGCTCTCACTGCCTTAGCATGGAAAATTATTCAGAGGCCTTGCTCCCTACATTCCTGTTAAAAAGGCTGGAAAAACTGCATAGGCTTCTTTGTGTGATGGAAATACTTGGAAAGTTAGTGGTGCTCCTGGTGCTCTGAGAGGGCAGTAAGTTTAGCGTCACATAGATATTTAGTTGTAGTGTGTCTTTATTTGCTTTCATCCTGTTTATTGAAATCGTAGTTAGATGATGCACAAGCTGTATCTGTCTGAAATGCACTCTTGAGGTTGGTGCTGCCAATCCAGAACTGTACAGTGGAATTTAGAATAAACTAGCATTGTGTTCTGACTTTTTTAATACTAAAAAAAGTGTAGTAGCTCAAAGCTGCAGATCCTCTTGCACTGCTGTATGAAACCCGATCCTCGTCGCCTTAGAGAGACCTCATGTCTCAATATGTGCTTCTCAAACAAAAGCTTTGCTTCCTCCCTACAGATTTGTGCCCTTCCGCTCTTCTTATTCTCATTAAACTAAACAGGGATGTCTTACAAACTTGGGACACTTGAACTGCACACAGACTCGTGTGGCCAGTCTGGCACGCTCCAGTCCTCTGGCTCAGCAGAAAACCGGCGGCTGGCCCATTGATCGGCTCAGTGTAGGATTTCCCTGTGGACTTGTCCAGGCATTCTCCAATCCACAGTCCGCTCACAAGAGGCCTCAGGACAGATATGCTGAAGCTGGCTTTTTGTAAGGAACCCCCATTTGGTCACTAGTCAGTACAACTGGCAAACCAGTTTTTAACATCAAAGCAGCAGAAGACACAAGATACGTGTCACAATATTTCATTTCTGATTTCTGCAGACAAATTGAAACTGATGAAATGCACCAGTATTGTCATGCAGACAGTAAACAGAATGCATCATGCACCATATAAAAGGAACAGAATTGGTAAAATAAATTCATGGCATCCAGTAAACTACAGGTTACTATGCAGTTTATGCAGTTACTATACACTGAATGTCTTTGTCTACAAGGTGTCTGTAATTGCTCTGAATCTGTTTTATGATTAAGGATATGCTGATGAGGGAATTCCTTGAGGGCTGATGCATATATGTTTTTTAAATTGTAGAGGTTTACGCTACATCCATTTGATACATTTGATTACCATAACAGATAAGTGTAACATTTGAGTCACAGCCTAAACATTCTGCTGTTTCAGAATAAAATAAATACATTATCAAGTATCGATATTTAAGTATGCGTCCAATGCCAATCTTTTCTTTAGTTGTTAAATGGTCGATACCAATTTAATTCCAATATCATCATGCTTCCTTATGACACATGCAGATGTTCAGTGTCATTACTAAAGACACATACCATTATACTAAAAGTCTATGTGTATCATTCTACTAATTGGTTCAAAGTCAGAGTTCAAAAGACATTTCAGACTTTTAACTGATTTTGACTTCACACTAAAATCATTTTGCCTTGAGTGGATGTAGCTAAAATAAGGCTTTGATAAACTTGGATCCCTTCATCATGAGCTCTAATTGACATTCTTTTCCCATGGCCATGCTCAATGTTCGCTGTCTCGTGCTGGATTTCCTGTAATTCAGTGAGTCTTACACATACTATGCTCAGGGTGCAACATGATATGACTTTGTAGCAACTTAATCTTGTGTTTATATTTTGTGTATATCTTTTTGCTTCTTTTAATGACAGTTATGGATGTTACACTTCAGATAATTTACAGAGTGAATCAGTTGAATAATGCAGTTATTAAATAAGTTGAGGACTGTTTTTGTAACTTAATGCAACTCTGATGATAAGGTCAATGCAAGGTTGAAATAAATGAGCACTTTAAGCCCTCTCAGATTGCAGGTGTGCAGAATTCACTGCAATATTCTTTGAGGGAGGGTCATTCTTTAAATTGGCCCTGCTTTAACCTAATTGCATAGCTAATTTTGTCTTGATTGTGCAGATGGCTCCGGGTGGAATATTTTTAATGTGGTGCACCTTCTGACCCCCTCTTTGTGTCCCATGCTGGTAGAGTGAAACATAAGAAGACAGAAAGGCCAGTGATTATTATTGCAATCACTGCTGAGGTCCTACAGACACCAGGTCATGGTGCATAAATCCTGAGGGTAATTACCTTTAAAATTGCAGTGTATCAGTGGTACATAATATTTATAAGTGCTGTTCACACGTTATGATTTGAGCGCAAAGTATAATTACTGTTTTGCTTCTCAGGGTTACTAATTGTCATTGTCAACTGAACATCAGTCTTATCGTCAGTCATCCCATAGCTCATTATATTAGGTCATTGCATTCTTGCATAGATAGTTCCATGCTTTGTATATTTTTTCTTGT